CCCGCGGCGCCCGGCGGAGCCGTCGCAGGGGAGCGCAGCGCGGAGCCAGGCAGCGCGGAGCCAGGCAGCGCGGAGCCAGGCAGCGCGGAGCCAGGGCCGAGCGCAGCGCAAGCCTCGGCGCGCGGCTCGCCGCAACAAGCTCAAAACGCGCAGGGCTCCCCGCAACCCGCCCCGCGGCTGTCCCGCGCGCCCCCCCGCTACACGAGGGACTCGCAGACGGGCAGCGAGTCCGAGTCCTGGCTGTGCATGGAGCTGAGCCCCGTGTCCGAGTCGTCGCCGTCGTCGGCGCGCTCCTTGCGCAGCGCGCGCGCCTGCTCCAGCCAGCCCGCGCCGCCCGCCACGTCCAGCGCGCGCAGCGTGGCGAGCAGCCGCTGCAGCTCCCGCTCCTTGGCGTCCCGCGCGCGCTGCGTGCAGTCCAGGTCGCTCTTGACCGCCTCCAGGTCCGTGCTCAGCTTGAGGCCGATGTAGAGGCTGGTGCTCAGCTGCGTCTTGACGCGCTCGTGCTCCAGGTGCAGCTCGCCCTCGCCGCCGCCGCCGCTCAGCTCCGTGGTGTCGCAGTCCGTGTCGGCCAGGCCGGGCCCCGCGGCCAGCGCCAGCTCCTCCCGCCGCCGCCGCATCCAGCGCTCGTTGAGCTCCCGCTGGATCTCGGCGGCCAGGTGCTCGAGCAGCTCCTCCTGCTGCGCGCGCTGCTCCTGCAGCCGCAGCACCTCCGCGCACTTGCTCGCGTAGTCCTCCTCGGGGCGCCGGGCGCCGGGGGGCTCCGCGCCCGGCCCGGGCCCCGGCGCCGGCTCCGCGCCGCCCGGCCCCACCAGGTAGGTGTCCTGCACGTAGTTGACGCCGTGGCGCTTCATGCGCTCCAGGTGGATCTTGGCCTCGTACCTGTCGATCTCGCGGTCGAGCTCGCGGAGCCGCTGCAGCTGCTGCCGGATCGTGTGGTCCTGCGAGAGCACGAGGTGCACGAGCGTCTCCATGCGCTCGGCGGCGGGCGCCTCGCGGGCCGCCGCGGGCCGCCGCCGGTTGATCTTGGCGAGCTTGCGGAAGGCCTTGCGCACCGCGCGCCGCTGCCGCTCGTGCGCGGCCGCCGCCGCCGGGCGCTCCCGGCTCAGCACCACGCGCGCCTCGGCGCTGCGCGGGCCCGCGCTGGGCAGCGAGGCCTCGCTGCGCACCAGCACGAAGCGCACGTTCTCCTGCTCGTCCCCCCAGGCCACCCAGAGGCGCAGGATCCTCGTCTTGTTGGGCAGGATGCGCTCGAAGCCGCGCCACTTCTCCACGATGCAGTAGGAGTGCGGCGGCCCCGAGAGCATCGCGCCGGGCGGCGCGGGCAGCGGCGCGCGCCGCTCGTGGCTGTCCTGCAGCAGCACCCGCACCACGTCCGAGCAGGTGGTGCGGCGGGACAGCCCCGAGACGAGCTTCTCCTCCTGGCAGATCCACACCGAGATCTTGCGCTCCTCGGGCTCCATCGGGGCTGCGCGCGCGGCGGCGGCTCCGGGGCGGCCGCTCCACCCCTTCCTGCCCCGCGGAGGGGCC